AAGGTCAAGGGCTCCCGACAGTAAGGAATTAAGCATCTGGGTTCGAATCTGGCCTCTACCACTTCCGAGCTATGTGGCCCTGGCAAGCAATTTCACCTCTCTGGGCTTTAGTTCCCTCATGTGGAAAAAAAGACAATCATGATACCATAAGGTCATTGTCACCTCAATCTCTAGTTCACTGTAAAACTGGTTGAAGAATTTTGAAAGAGTTACTGAAATGTAGAAAACAAATATGGAAACACCACTGAGTCCTGAAGAGAATGGTTTTGTAATTGCTATGGCTCAATGGGTTGAGTCACATGTAATTAAGTCTGGAATTTCCAAGGACAAAAACAGACCTTCATGACAGAACATCTAAGATAAAAAAACAAGGAGAATTCCTAAGAAGTTGCTTTTGAGGACTGGGGTGGTAGCAGCAAATCACACTTTGTTGAAATGGAAAGGAAGAAACAGATTCCTGCATCAACTAGAAGCAATCTTTCTACATTATCCTCCCTCCCAAAATTTCAGCTCTACTGCTAAATCTGGGGGGAACCAACTCTGAGCTCTATCTAAGTTTGAGAACATTGGGGGCGGGGAGAAGTGGAGTCCGGTGAACAGAACAGTCTGTGAGAGTTACTACACAACTGTGAACATCTAAAGGAACCATACTTTGTGTCTGGAGCCTACAGAGTTAACCCCTCTACTTTTCCATGACTTACTCATTCATTGCTATTAGCATTTGGCTAAAAACTACTATTGTCACCCAAGCAATATCAGTCTCGTTAGAAAGAGAGGAGCAAATGGTGTAAAAAAATGCAACGATCCCTTTGAAGGCAGCTGGTTCAGAACCTCTGAATCATTTTGAAATATCCAGACAGGCCAAACCACATCAATGCCACATTTAAATAAAATTCATATACACAACCACTGAAAACAAAGTGATGACTTGTCAGAACTCTGGTTCTTCTTTCCCTGTCAGGTCTACTGATGATGCACCTATAATTTTAAAATATTCTGCGTAAGGTATCTACCTGTTCGGTGAACACTTCAGGTGAGGCCACACCTGCAGATGTTACTAACAGTTTACTGCCCTAGTGGATGGAACCTTGGCCCAAAGTATAGAGCAGGGAAGACTTGAGTTAAAGCAGCTGGGAAAGCCCAAAGCAATGAAGGCCTGTGTCAGCAGATCAGCAGACCCGTGGCAGAGGAAGTCATTGCTGCTGGCCATCCTGCCTTAAATTCCGGGAGTTACGAGTCACATGTTGCCCTAGTCTTATTGTGAAGCCCTGGGCAGTTTTGTTTCCTGTCCTCCTTCATACCCTGCTTTAGAATGTTGCTTAAAACACATTGAATTTTCTGAAACCCAAAGCCAGTAAAGATTGATGCAAGTGCATAAGCCTCATTGCTCTCAAGCCCATCACCTATGAAGCCAGAGTGTGGCTGGAATAAGGTCCGAGGAAACCACACTCATCCCCTCTATTCAGCCTATTTTCTTTCTCAGGCTTTTCATGTCACCTCTCACTGTTCCCTCTCTGAGGAGCACTTCTATCTCGAGATCAGAAATTCCTTCGTTCTTCCACATGTCGACGTTTGCTCCAGTAATCATCCTGCCGCCAAGCTTTCCATTTCTCGTGTCCTTTTTATTTGAGATGTGCTGGAGAATCCATGAGGTGATAACAAATATCTTCACATGCTCCCACCCAGTATGTAAGAATCTCAGTGGAGGTAGTGCTTCTCCAAACGCCCAGCATTCTGTGCGCTCAACGCATGAAGCCGCGGGCTCTGCGCACGCATTTGCCTCCTCATGGGCTGTAGAAACGGAGGTAAAATGGGAGATCTGCCACCCCTCAGAGAAAGCAGGTTTGGAATGGTCTGTCCCCTGAGCATTCTGGGTACTTTATAAAAGGACGGGAGTAGGAGAGGCTGTCAGCATCAGAGGGGAGAACCAGGAGAGAAGATGGTGCCATCTGGGTAAAACTGCTTATGGCTCGTCTATCAGAGTGATGCTTTCTGGTCCTGCTACTCTGTGTCACCTTCTGCCCCTCCATCCTCGCTCTATTTGCCAGATACCTCAAGATGTTTCTAAGAGGTTCTGAATTATTGACGAGCCTAAGGAAGATGCTTTTAGAAACATTAAGTACAAAAACAGACCTGTACAGCTAGTGCAGATAGTGGGTCATTGGCAGTTTTCTTTTTAAGGCCAAAAGAGAAGAGGGGAAAAAAAAAAAAAAAAAAAAAAAAGCCTGTCTCTGCTAAATAATGATATTCACAGAACAAGAGACACTGCAGCTCCAAAGTTCACAGTCTCTCCAGCGTTACTCACCCCTAGCCATCTTGCTCCTTTATTGGCAGCCTGTTGAATCTGGACTCTTTTCAGTGTGACATGGTAAACAGCTCCTTCCTCTACCTCTTCACCCCAGTCCTGAATCGAGCTCTGCCAGAGAGGATGGGATAAAAAGAAAGAAAAAGAGTATTTTTTTTTCCCCCTCTCTGCTAACCACAATCTATCCCAGCTGCTTTGCTGCTTACCCCAGCACTCCGGGCACAAGATGGGCTGTTCAGAGTAAATATTACAATCAGAGCAATACAAGACACACTGTGATAAAGAGAATGCTGAGATTTTCTTGGCCCCCAGCCCTTTCCTGTGGTATCAGGATCCCCGGACTTTTCCATTTAGTTATTTTTCCTAGACTTGCTCACATATATCTTTAAATAGAGTTTTGTTTTGTTTCGTTTTTTTCAGTCTTTTTTCACTTCGTAAAGAAACTGTGGTTTAGTCCTGATTAACTTTTCCTCCTTGAGTGAAAAGCAAAACAATTCATTGGTTTAAAAAGTTTGTAGTTTTTTTTTTAATAAGTGGCTCAGTTATTTCAGCAAACTACATTTTAAACTCAGACCCAAACAAGCATTTAAAATGCCAAGAGTCTTCACGCCTTTGGAAGTTGAACGCTTCCCGTGTCTTTTTTCTCCACTTATTGTTTGGAGACCCAAAAAGTTAGCGGGGGGTGGAAAGTTTTTATTTCCATAAAATAATCTGGCAAGTGCTGGGAAAGCAACGCATCGGCACGCAGCTTCGAGCAGGACGTGTGCATCGACTCCCTGGGTTTCCATGTCCCCGGCTAAACTTTGTGTCAGAGCCCCTGGGACACCGAAGCGCTCCGCGGTTCGCCCGGTCTAACAGTTCTTTTTCCTTAAAAGTTCCTTCTTGACATACATCTGCCCCAGACACACCAAAAGCAAGTGCTGAGAGAGTAGGTATCTTTGTAAAGGGAGAAGACACGCAGCGAGGAAGGCATACAAAGCAAAGTAGAAAGCTTTAAGCTCACAAGTATGGGATCGGATTGCTCCGTTCACTCCGAGTGAGTCCAAAACACGCCCAGAGAAAGCGGGAGAAGATTCCCCACCAGAGAAGCCTCGGGAGAAGGCAGAGAGTTCTCGTTACCATTTTAGCTTGCCAAAGCAATTTCATTCTCAGTTTTCCCTTCGGTACGGGGACGCGGCATGATGCGCCCAGCTCCCAGGCCGACGCGGTCCCGGCGCGGCTCCGCCGGGAGCCCCCACCGGCCCCCGGCCCGCGCGGCGGCTGCGCTCGGAGCACAGACACGCGCGGCGCTGCCCGTCGTCCCCGCCGCCTCCGCCGGTGCGCGCGACTCCGGCCACAAAGGGAGCGCAGCGAGCGAGCAGCCAGCGAGGGCGCCGCAGACTCCTCCCCACGCCAGTCCGCCACTCCGTGATGTCAGGCTTTCCTGTTTGTGATTGGGAGCGCACTCTCCCTTTCTCAAATCCCATGGATAAAGTTAGCATGAAATAATTTCTCCAGCTCCGGAGGTGGCGGGAGAAACAACCCTTTGAAGTTGATGAGTTTTCCCTGCTGGTCGCCAGGTGCCAAAAAAGAATCGGGTGTGGTGTGGGGGACAGAAGTGTGTATCTTCTTCCTACGCTAAAAGAAATAGGGGGAGGGGGAGGGCAAAAAGGACGTGAGGAAAGGGTAGAAAACCGTCTGTTATCTGCCCTGTTACCTACTGGATTTAGATTAAATCAGAGCGACCCCAATGAGAGCAGCAATACTAGAAGCCAGGAAGTTTTTCATTAGGACAAAAACTAATTGTTTAGAGGGCACTCCAGAGCCCGTGCCCAGAGAGGGTACCCTGCCCAGCAGCAGCACACAAGCAGGCACCTGGACTTCTTTCTACTGCGCGTTACTAGAAGGCTCTTCCAACAGTGACTGGTCACTGCGGGAGAGAAGGGGACAAAGCAGGAAAGGGTTTTTCTGGGACTGACAGACACCTTGGAAAGCGAGTGGTCAGTGGCCCTGACGGCAGTGTGAGTCTTCTGAGCTGTCGCCATCTCTGAGTGTCTGTACTATCGGAACACAGCGGGATGATGACGGTAGGGAAAAGCTCTTCATGAGACTGCCAGAGGGAGTTGTGTCATAACGAAAAGATCTATCAGGACAAAAGATTATGGCCATTTTTAGATCCAGTTTTAATAAATCAACAGCAAGATACCAGATGATAATGTAATCAAACTTTGGCATGTGACAATCCCATGTCAATTGCAAAACCTTTAGGGCTCATGTCTTTTATACTATTCACCCCTAAATGAAGTTAATGGTCTTTAATTTTTTTAAAGGCCTCTTACTAATTGCCACGTTAAGGCATAATGTGGGCTTTGATTAGCAGTAAATATATCGTGAGCTGAAAAGCTAGAGAATCAACTGTACTGATGTTCCCAGGAGAGCAGATAAATGACATTTAGCGTAAATCAAGGAAAATAAAAGAATCTTTGGGCACTTGAGAACATCTTGAAGTCACTCAGCCAAGTTCCCTTCACAGAACCAGAAACTATGGGGCTCAGGAACTGTGGAGCGAGGGAGTCTAGATCCTTCTGTGATCACCAGGACAAAGTGTCCTCAGTGTCCAGAGGAACATCATGTGGAAGCCCTCCGTCCCCTCCCTGCTTCTGAAGCCAACCTCAAGCCCCCAGGCACACCCCCTGGAGGATCTATTCAGTGACCTTGAAGACCATAAGATGCACCCCAGGACAGTTCAGCAGCCCATAGGATTAATTTAACCACAACTTTAACCTGATTTTTGGCTATAAATTTGATGTTTGTTTGACCTCACCCCTCCCAGGAAGCCTTCCTGGACAGGACAGCTGATAGATAACTCACAAGGCCCCGCTCAGGTTTCAGATCTCATCACCATCCTCACTACTCTACCAGTTCCCTGGCTGGCCACCTGGTGGGTAAAGGGAAAAGAAAAGGCTTCTGCTGATCCAGCTTCAAATCCACGTTTACATTAAGAGTGAACTTGGGCGCTACTTCCCTGAACTTTAATTTCCTCATCTGCAAAATGAGACAAATATCAACCTCATAAAGTTTGAAAAGAAGATTAAATACGTTTGCAAATCATCTAACACATGGTAAATGATTTAAAAAGTTCCATGCCCTTATTGCGCTTCCCCCAAAACTGTATTTTCTGAGACTCACTGAAAAGTTGTATATGTATGCCATGTAGGAAAATCTAAAATGATGTCTTCTAACTGAATGAATTACATTATAATTTCAGAAAGGTTTTCCAAGAATAACTATTGTATTTATACCTGATAATGTATGTGATTTTGTCCAAATGCTGATCCAAAAAGGGGGAGGGGGGCTGTTTTATGCTAGATAGAGCAATCAAGTGTTTGCTTTTACAGTTTATAATTTTTAAATATTTATTTAAAAATATTTAACCTGCAGGAAGCTTAGTCTTACCTTATTACATATACTTTTAGGTTAAAATACTCCTAGTCCATATGTGGGAAAGACAAACCAATAAGCCATTTATAACTGAGTTTGAATTTATTTACCAGATTAGCCTACCCATAACCTAGCATGGTCCCAAGAGGACAGGTCAAATTTTGTTAAAAGGATAACAGTAATGTTTCTAGATTTCAGTGTACATGCATTTGATCCCCTTAGTTAAGTTTATTCCTAAGTATTTTATTCTTTTTGATGCTATTGTAAATGGGATTGTTTTCTTAATTTCACTTTCAGATTGTTCATTGTTAGCATATAGAAATGCAACTGACTTTTATATATTGATTTTGTATCCTGCAACTTTACTGAAATCATTTATTAGTTCTAACAGTTTTGGGGAGGACACAAAAATATGGTAAGATATCCCGTGTTCATGAATTGGAAGACCTAATATTATTAAAATGTTCATACTACTCAAAGCAATCTACAGATTCAATGCAATCCCTATCAAAATTCCAATAGCATTTCTTACAAAAGTAGAAAAAATCATCCCTAAAACTCATACGGAACCACAAAGGACACTACATAGTCGAAGCAATCTTGAAAAACAACAAAGCTAGAGGTCTCATACTTTCTGATTTCAAAATATATTACAAAGCTACGGTAATCAAAACAGCACTGAAGTGGCATACGGACAAACATATAGACCAGTGGACTCCAATAGAGAGCCCAGAAATGAACCCACACATGTATGGTCAACTGATCTTTGACAAGGGTATGAAGAATACACAATAGAGAAAAGATAGTCTCTTCAAGAAATAGTACTGGGAAACTGAATATCCACATGCAAAAGAATGAAATCGAACACTTATCTTATCCCATACACAAAAATTAATTCAAAATGTATTAAACATACAACCTGAAACTGTAAAATTCCTACAAAAATACACAGGGACAAGCTTCATAACATTGGTTTGGCAATGATTTCATGGATATAACACCAAAAGCATAGATAACGAAAGCAAAAATAGACAAGCATGTAAGACTACATCAAACTAAAAAGCTTCTGCACGGCAAAGGAAACGATCAACAGAGTGAAAAGGCAACCTGTGATATGGGAAAAAATATTTGCAAACAATAAATCTGGTAAGGAGTTAATATCCATTATATATAAGGATATAACTCAATAGCAAAAAACAAATAACTGAATTTAAAGATGGGCAAAGGACTTGAATAAACATTTCTCTACAGAAGACATACAAATGGCCAACAAGTAATATGAAAAGGTGATCAACATGACTAAGCATCAGGGGAATGCAAATCAAAACCACAATGAGATAGCATCTCACACCTGTTAGGATGGCTATTATTTAAAAAAAAAAAAAGTTGGCAAGGATGTGGAGAAAAGGGAACTTTGTATACTGTTGGTAAGAATGTAAATTGGTACAGCATAATGGAAAACAGCATGGACGTGCCTCAATAAGTTAAAAGTAGAACTACCATATGACCCAGCAATCCCATTTCTGGGTATATATTCAAAAGAATTGAAATCAGGATCTCAAAGATATCTAAGTGCTCCCATGTTCATTACAGCACTATTCATAATAGCCAAGATGTGGAAACAACTTAAATGTCCATCGATGGATGAAGGGTTAAAGAAAATGTGATTTATACATACAATGGAATATTAC